AGCTCACTAGCTACTGAGTATTAACCATTCTCGGATGAATTGTGGAACTTCCTTATGAAGAATTATGTTCATAGTAATTTTTAGGATCTTCTGGCTCGTGGCTTTAGTAGATTGAACTTTCCACTGTCTTCTATAGTTCAGCTTTTGACCGTTTGCAGGCAATTTTTCAAATTCTTAGTAGTTCTTTTTATTAGAGATTGAATGTGTCGGGTTTTTGAATACTCGAGAGAAGGGAGTCACTTGTTTTTTCGTTATTCGAGTAGTCAAATGATTGAACATCATGGCAGAATTCGATTTAAAATTAAAAATGTTTTCATGTATCATTTGGAATATTCGAAGAAAGTTATGCTGCTTTGAGTACCTTTGTGTGTCTGCCTGTTATTGTTTATCTGTCTATCTTTAGGTACTGAGATGTCCATTCGTTCTTTGTCGTACGATTCCTTCCGCAACTATCAAAATGAGAAACCTTATTTAATTCATTAAAGACATTTGTCTAATTATCTCGGTTACCGTTAGAAACGAATAAAGTAACCACACGAGCTCCTTAAAAGGGAACCATCCTCCATTGTTCCCGCGAAGAACTGTAAATTCAAGTGTACACGTTCTCGACAGCAAACATCATAATTAAATAGCTCGGAAACAAAGTCATTTAGGAAATGTACTGCAAGTTTAATTAAAATCTTCTTTGGTCACAATGCGCGCCGGGGTTTGAAGGGTTTTTAATTAAAGAAACAGGGACCGGTCGCGAGGAGGTGACGGATAAATGTTGAATGGGTCCGGTTTTCCAATTACTCCGAACGGATTTCGCTAATTCGAACAGTGATTTTTGCCCGATGCCGGTTTTAATTTCGCGCCAACTGCTCCGGGGCCAACGTCCACGACCGCTAACGAGGTTTCAACGAAATTAATAATAGTTATTAGCCGCCGTAATAACATGACGTTAACTCAAGTCCCTCAAGGCGACAAAGTAAATGCACGAATTCATGCGGATTATTCGACAGGCGTTGAACAAACGTTTCCAGCTGGTCAAAGAGTAAATTAAATTAATGGACTCGTCCAAACGCGGAAAAGTAACACTATGTAGAATTCGCCGTTAAGCAGCGAGTCCCTTTCATGTCGGTGACGTGCAGATGTTAGTCACATTCTTTTCCTCACTGCCGGGAGGAACGAGGAGGGCAACGCTAGAGGGAACAACTTGATTCGTTCGAAGCGAATCCTCGAACAGCTATGAAATTAATGTATTAAAAGGACAAAAGTTCCTCTACGCGGAAATGAGTGCCCAGATGAATCCACGGCGAACAGCTTCCCCGGGAAGTTTAATTAACGGTCGCCTTTTCTTTGATCAAAAATTCTTAAATAATCATTTATTCCTGCGAGCTTTCGAAATTAATGTCCCATTTTTGGAGGATCCCCGCAGGAAGCAGCTTCCATTTAAACTTCCCTGCCTCGTCGGCGAAGTAATCCTTCAAGAGTTTCACCGTTAACGCCGCGACATCGGGTCCGTTTAATAAAATGCGAGAAACCCGAGAAACGAAATTACTTCCCGACAGAATATCGAGAGCAGAACGAACTATTGTTACAAGCAAAGTCGAACAGTGTTCATATTAAAGTGACAGAAACAATGTTCTACCATACGTTGCAGGAGAGTTGGCAATAATATGAAATACGCGTCAGTTTTCATCTGTTCTCATCTAATTTTCAATACTACTTTACTATTCGTCGATGTGATTACACGTGATCAATGAAAACTATAAACAAAGCACACAGCGACTGACCCATATAACCTCTATGTCGACCCGACTGCCAACTCTGGTTCAACGGACGGTACGTTCTACGTATTCATCTTGGAGAACGCGAACAAACGGGATTAACCGCGCTCCCAGCGCGGAGCATCGCGCAAAAGAGAAGCCTGTGTGAATCCTGCGGGAACGGAATCCTCGATTTTGTTTCCCATTTTATTTTCCCGTTTTTTCGGCGTGTAACTCCGTGGAGAATCCCGACCACTCATTTCTCGCAGGCCGAATATAAATACGGGATTAAGTAATTCGATTTACTCACTCGGATAAATTCGCAGCGGGTCCTCTTCCTCGTGGTTACCTGAAAGTTTAATTACTCCGTCATACGGAGCCGCTGGAATATTTTATGAAATCTGCCGCGCTTCTGAGAGAAACGTCTCCGCGACACGACGCAACGTCTCCGCGCCTCGCGAAGTAACCATTCCGTTGCTTCGAGTGGAAACAGTAAAACACGGAAGGAGACCCTTCGGCCGGACTACGGATTCGCCGGACAAAAGGAGAACGCGAGTGGATTCGTTTTTTTTATTGGCGTGTAAGGCACTCTAGGTGTGTTGTAACTTGTACTGAACACGAGCGGAAAAAGAGAAGGATGACGGAGGAAGGTTTTCTGCCTCGGTAGATCGTGTTGTTTACTTTTCTTGTTGGGAAAGAGGACGTGCCGGTGCTGTATCGATTATTAGTGGAAAGATGAATGAACAGTATTCATTGTTAATCCAGGGTAGGTATGTTTTATCGATACAGAATGATTGATGCATTACTAACCCTTTGCACTCGGAAGTTCTTTCCTAGAAATACGCAACATTTTTCAATATGATAATATAAACGACATTCTTCGAAACTAACAAATGAGAAAACATATATAAATTAAGAAACAAAGCTATTTTATTTCAAGATTTTACATATCGATGCATTATACAGAGCATAATATCATGTATAAGATGATAGTTTTGCTATATAGAATCTAGTGGTGGCTGAGAGTCACCTTTTGAGCGCAAAGGGTTAAGACACAGGGAGAATTAAGGAAGACGGATGTAAAGTATTGATTATTGTTGTGTAGATTTAAGGGCATTTGTTTCTGTTCATTGGGATTATTCGAGATTAATAGTGTTTTCTATGTTTTCATTGGAAGACATTGCAAAGTACTAACGGTCGAGAAACGAATTTTATTCTGAGATAAATTAAAAGCATGAGAAGTATACATTTTCTTAAGTGGATAAACATTTTGAAATAAATTAGCTGTATGATACCTCTATGGATTTGTGAAACTATCAAAAAGTTGAGATCATTGGTATTTTAACCACTTAAGGCTGGAGAACAGAAAATTCATATGAAATTTCGTAGATCGTCAGGTTTGACTGGTCGAAAAGTTTGATCATCACAAAAGAATTCATTATTTTCATGTTTCCCATCATATCATGGAAGCTTTAAAGAAATAAATGTGTAATGTGCTGGCAATATAATTTCCGAAGTGACATCGGTCGGCAAATGTTTGACGATAAGAGGACCGCTGCAGATAGTGATCAGTTACGTCATTGCATAACTTGTGAACACGCGGGAGAGATCAGCTGTGCACGCGCGTAAATGGACACTGACCTGCGTAATTTTTCAGCAACTTAGCGTTCGCCTCCGGACCATATGTCATCAGCGCGCCCATTAGCACAATTAGGACGACTTGGACGAAGAACAGCAGGCATACTTGCTGCTTCCCGCTCACCGTAGAGAACATTCCCTGTTTTCGAAAAAAAGGTAAAAAATATAGTAACAAGGAAATAGATAAAAAATAATCAATCCATTAGAATTAATTGCTTTTGTCGATTCAATCCTAATAGCATAGATAGAACAATATGCATTACATAGATTGTTTAAGATATATTAATATACATGAAAATTATAACGCCAGAAGGTAAAGTAAATTATATGATTTTGATTAGCAACATAATGGAAAGGAATGTATAACAATATTCGTGGAAGAAAGACTTTCTAAGTTAAATATTCATTTCGTAATTATTATGTTATTGTGTCATGACATTATAATTTTTGTATGAAATTATATTATTTTGATAAACATGTATAAATATATCTAACATGACGTGTTAGAGGAATATGAGTTGACTAATAACTTAGCAATCCAATAATTGCCGTGGAACGATAAATAGAACAGCCGTTACAGGCACTGCAATTAGTAAAATATGCAGTGGTTTTTAGTATTCATAGCAAACAGATTCTAATGATTTCATGCGGTTGAAGCTGGCCGAGGTTTCTTTAATGAAATCTCAATAATCCATTAATCGCTTATAGAGATAATATTTGCGAAGCAAACTGCGTGCTGAAACGATAGATGGGTTATTCGGTATAATGAGACCGCAGAGTAGGAAAGCTGGAATTTCAGTCGCCCCTGATCGTGTTACAACCATGCGATTTTATAGTTTCATCTCTGATATCATTAACGAAATTCCACGGAATTTGACATTTACTCTAAATAATATTTAAACGAATAAATTATTCATAAATCTGAAGCAACAATAAAAAACACAATTCCTTACAATACTCGCACATTGTTCCCTGTCATGTCATCAAGTTCAATTCAACAAATTAAAAGACAAATTTACTAAAACCAACAATTTAAACAATAAAAATCCTCGACTAATCCCTATCAATTCACATATTTCCCGAAATAATTCAATTAACCTCTCAACCACTATCCTCCCACTCGGAAAACAAAATCCCATTTCCTCATTTCAAATACAGCGCCAGAATATGATAATTTCAAATAATCATAATCTAAAGCAACAAATTTACCACGTATTCCGCACGATCTCCTTAAATGAAATATTCACGAGCATAAGTCAACGTTACCCCCAGGCTGTTCGAATAATTTCTTCCCGCACTGATCGTTAACATTAAAACTACAACAGTCCAATCGCCTGTTCCTATTTTCTTATAGAAACGCTAGAAGCGCATCTATCGAGATATTGACTGGCTAATAATTCAGCTTACGTATTACGAAAACAATTTCTTTAATCATTTCTCACAGACTAATTCGTTATCATATACGATATTTGAAAAATAACAAATCAGAAACTGGTTATTTTGGCTCGTCGCACACTGCGGCCGCCTATGGACAAAACTTCAAAATTCGACTATTCAAATAACGAAAATTGAAGGTTACGAATATATCACCAAGCAGTCTCTACTACAAAGTGACTTTCATTTTAAAAATATAAATTTTATGCAAATAAATTCTCTTTCTCTATTTATATAACGTTTGAATCGAACCGCAAAATATCCATTGTCATTGAACAAATTTCACAATATCCCCATGATGTAAAAAAAAATATAACTATAATTTCGTCTGAAGCATTTCTTTGTATCACTCACACTTTTTAACCCCTTGCGTTACAATAACGTGTCAGACTTGTGGCGAAGACTTTAAACAGAATCAAACAAGAAGGAACGTTCCTCGATTCTTTTGAATTGAAATGCAATATTATCCTTCTGTTAGCAATTTTTATACATCGGAATAAAGATTGGTATATGATATATTGTCATTTCATTCTTTTCCTTAATAAATTATTAATGACAAAGTAGTCGTATCATGGTTAAGAAATGAATCGTAGGGCAACGGGTTCAGTTATCGAGTTCCGTTCAGAAAACGGCCATTTGGTTGCATTGTGCGTCGGCAGCGATCGAACTTTCGCCGGAAAAATGGGGGACGAAGAAGAAAAATGCATCGAAAAGTTAACAGCGAATTCCACTGACATGCAGACGAGGCGATGAAAAACGTGCGGCGAAAATCTGAGCGGCGCTGTTAAACTTTCCGCGCGGCGATTGTCATCGCGCATGACATCGGCAGCGTAATACCTTTCCCATTTTGATTTGGACACCCTTATTTCCTCGGCCCGCAGAAGCTCGTCTGTCCTCACTGGCTGTCGATCATTTCATCCGAGCGTTCGGACACGCGCACAGACACACGTACGGGCGTACAGATTCACATTCGTGCGGGCTTTTTATTGTTTCCCGATTTAGTTTCGCGGACGGGACTCTTCGTGAATGACACTGGCCAAGAGTGCCGAGCGGACTCCGCTTCTGAACGGGGGTACCCTTAATTCGAACAATGATGACCGCTGACCGGGCCGGGACGTAGATCGACGGGACGATCGACTGCGGCAATGATTGCCGACGCGGAATTGCGTCGGACGTTCGATTCTTCGGTTGTCGAATGAATTTTTTGTCCTTTTCAGCCTTTCGATGCTGCGGCAACAATTTACAAGTGTCTGCGATTTGAAATTTCTAATTGGACTTTGACGCGTTAACATTCAAATTTTTGACATTTCGTACAATTTTATATAATTCTTTGTAAGTTTTACAAGTTTTATGTACAGTTTTGTGTAATTGCCTTTGTAGAGACGATGAGGTGAATCTTTTTTTGTGACTAAGGTAACGTGGAGTTTACTGTTTGGTAGAATTAATTATTGATTTGGTATCACTTTTCTTATGTTACACTTTTTTCTAAGTATTTGGTTTGTTAGGTGAGTTTATTTGATATCAGTCTTCTTATTGAATTTGTTTTAAAAATATTCGGAAACTTTAGTTATATCATTGTAGTGGTTAATGTGTTAATTAAAATTTGATTGTTTTTTATTGGGAGATTTTGTAAAGGATATACTGTTTTTATGATTAAGTGTGCCTTACAGAAAGCGAATTGAATGAAACGTTAGAGGGTTTGAAATGGATTTGCTAATGACCTTTGTAAACTGCTGAAATACTGTTTAATCTCTTCATTATTTTTTCATTGACTTTGTGTGAGATTTGTTCCCCATTGCTTCACTTTGGTTCATATGATTTTTCGTGTAATTGCTCTGTAGTTTGAAATGAATGGTTTTTCGTGGCGAAAGGGTAAATAGACTTCTAAAAATTCGCTGAGGTCACGTAGGTGCCTCGTAATTAAACTGCGAGCATTAATGCGGATACAGATTTTTATAGAGAAATTTACAAGAACCCAAAAATAAAACGAAGCTTGTTCGTGCTATTATAAGCTCCAACAGAGTTCAAATAAAGTGAGACCTTAATTAAAATATATAAAACTTTTTAATGTGCCGAGTTTTATAGGGTTATGCACGCTATAAACGTATAAAATCCGCAGTCTAGTTATAATAGTGGCAGCAAGGAGTTTCATACAGCTCACGGTAACAAAGGAACAGTTTACTTAAGTTGGACTTCACATACCATCAGCATTTCTTGTGTATTTTATGGAATACTATCCCTAGTCTTAAATTTTTTACTGAGGGATTCACAACTTGCGTGCGATATATCCTCAGGATCCTTCAATTAAATTTGAGATATAAAAATAAAATTCCTGAATCCCCCATAAGAATTTCAAATATGCTTGAAGCATTGAGTGAAATAAAATTTTTAAAATGATTATTATCCTACACACAGACGCACGAACTGCTAAAATGAAACAAACCTCGAATAAGATAAGTTAATCCGCTCTAAATCACTTATTACTAATTTTCAAAAAACTGAATTGTGCGGATGGCAATTTTCAGTGAGATCGACTTATATCATTATACATACAAAAACTCGGATATCATATTGTTATGTAATATATTTTCAATAGATAATCAATTAGAATCAAATTTAATGTTTCTTTAAATGCTGTTGCAACTAGCAAAGTTATACAGCTAAATATATCTAAATGCCTATATAAAAACGAGATTTGTGTGTGAACTTAATAATTCCAAGTTTCCCAAGCAAAGAAATCGCAAAAAATTATTCTTTTCCTAAATGAATTTCATCTTATAAGTTTGAGAATCACTTATTTCTCAGTAACAAATATTTCGTTCGAGACATTCATTCCCAGTATCGAGTGTAGAACAGATTCAGCGAAAATCTCGATTACACCTCGACAAATCGTATTCGCGTCGTTCCCGATACGTGTATTGTTTATCCGTTTACTCCGCGCGCGATCCAATTACACCACGATTGATCCTGATTGACCCCGTCGTCTAAATCTCCCCCACGGATATACGCCATTCCCTTAATGCCGATGCTGCGTTTGACGTTCGACAGCAGTTCCGACAGTCGCGAGCACGATCCGCGCGCTGAAAAATGTACTGGCCGTATAAAACCGGGATTATTAGCCAGGCAAGCCGGATATCGATCTTCGACACGCAAAGTGTCACGGTTACGACCGTAAAAAAGGGGATTGTAAAATATTAACGACTAACATCTTTCGCGTTCTCTCGACGGATTCCGCGAGATTTCTGTGCCCGTTGGTCGAGCTATCGATGTCCAGCCGTCAGTTAATCTACTAATCGATTGATCCAACGAAAATTTCATTCGCTGAAAATCAATTACGGTCATTCAATTGGTCTTTGGGAAACAAATTTTAATCAATATTTTGATTGCAATGGGAATTGCAATCATGAACTCTTTCATTCTTTATTAATTTCCTGTTTGATGTGCGGGCATTTCGATTATTTCTATATTTATTGAAATAATAAATGAAAGTCAGGATATTAAAAGAATGAACCGAAGTACACATAGCGATTAATGAAGAACGCACGAATATAATATCGCGAAAATGTTATTGGAAATTGTGTAAATATTACAGGTAGAATACTGACTTTGAAATATAATATTTGTCACGATTTTGTAATTTTGTTTTTTTATTTATCGATATTCTGATTTCTTTGGCTTATGAGCATATTGTATAGTAATAATATT